AAAAAAAAATATCAACTGTATATCATCATTTTATTAATTGCATTTGCTGAGATAAAAAACAATGTATAAAAAAAAGACTTGGTGATAATCTCGTTTTAAGCAACGAAATAGGAGACGCGATAAACAAATGTAGATCGACTGTCTCCGAGACCTTGCTGAAGGGCGCGGTTAGTATCACTTAAAGCTTAAATTACGGCAGAAAGAGCTACCTTATCAGCATCGTCGTTGCTGCGCCTTGGGCTAGAAATTTAAGATCAAAATTATGCAGACCATCGAATCGAGCGGTGCCTCCTTATATGGAGAGAGACGTATGTGGGAGATGACGACGATGCGGTATAAAGTTCCCCGCGAACGCGAATACGAACGATTCTGTATCGTATCGCTTTAAGATCATCTCTCGAGGATATAACACTAAATCGTTCGGACACGATATACATGTCAATTCGATAACTCCTTCGCGAAATTTATATCAAATATAAACATATCTCGTAGAATATTCTATCAATATTTGTCGCAAAATAGTGGGAGCACTATAATAAGTATATCAAAATAATTATTTATTTTCTCAAACAATAAAAATTGTATTAAGCATCCCATATATATTTCATGCACGATGTTTCATATTCTAAATATAGAACTAGATAAAAAGATAAAAATAAAATGGGCGGAAATGGTATAGCAAGATTATCAAAATAGACACTATTTATCTCTTCGACTTTAAAATATTAGGTACAATCGGTCGTTTAAACGGTCTATCCCTTCCTCCGAATCTCAATTGCCCCGATTCTTTTTTGCCACCAAAACCACCTCCTGAAAGATTGAATAATTAAAACTTGCAATATTTGAGTGTATATGCATCTTGCTCATTACATACCAAGTCTCCTTGGCTTCCATCCCTTCATGCTACGACCACATTCATAATCTATAAATATTTTATATCCTTTTAACATAGCATCTGTAGCTCGTCTCAACACCCTTCTAGCTTCATCTTCGTTTCTCATTTCCACAAAACCGTATCCTTGCGAGAGTCCAGTCACTACATCTACTATGACTTTTGCAGAAATAACATCTCCATATTTGCTAAAAAACTAGACAAAAAATAATTTAAAATTTATTAATATGTAATTATTTATTATTCTGTAATATGTTTAATGCGCATAATAAAACTACTAAATATATCATTTGATAAAAATAATATTACCTCCTTTAAATCATATTTAGTAACATTAGAACCAAATCTAGCTACAAAAATAGTTCTTTCTGGTTTAGACTCTAAATTATGTGATGGCTCGTAATGCATTAGTATTGCTCTACTAATAGCTTTGTCGTGAGGTTCTGTATCTGTTCCATCAATACTACCTGCCTTTAAAGGATCGTAGTTTTTAGCATAAGGGCTCCAGTTTTGCGATATACCTTCATCCTAAAACATAGCAAAATCAATCGTACAAAAAAGTTATTCTAGAATAAATAATAAAATTACTATTTTATTAATTAATTAAAACTAATTCCTTCTTAGTATTAAATTTTAAATGCATTTAAATAATATGTATATTTAAATATTATATAGAGTTTTATAACCTAGAAATGCCATTTGCATTGCTAATAAAATCTCTTATATATACACTCATAGTTTAATAATAATACTGGTGCCAGTCGCGGTAATTTATTCATAATTTTATTGTCTTCATCGATGAAAAAGAGACACTCACCATATTAATTGTATATTTAGAAAATCAAAAATATATACAGTGGGATATTTCATAAACAGATTGCATCTTTGACAGCTGAAGGAAAACTCGAGAGCAGATATCCCGGTGTTTTTCGTGGAATGCTTACCAACTTTGGTTTGATATTGCCATCTATATCCATTTTTAAAGGCCAATTTCACCAAATCCGGTTAAGCCCGTATCAGACTACGCATTGAAGATTCAGATTCAAGATTCAAGATTGAAATTTGACCAATCAGAATAAAGAACGAAATTTTCAAATTGTGTATATCTGTAGCAATTGAAAGTATTACTAGTGGCAACAGTCATACCACGTTGTAAAGCACCAGTTCTCGTCCGATCACTGAAGTTAAGCAACGTTGGGCATGGTCAGTACTTGGATGGGTGACCGCTTGGGAACACCATGTACCGTTGGCACTAAATTTTTT